TAAGCACTGGACTGATAACTGCAAGGCCGCCAGTTCAAACCCACCAGCTGCTCCTCGGACACTCCATACAGGGTCCCTATGAGTTGGAATCAACTTTCCAGCACTTAACAACAACATATGAAGCAAAGGTAGATATAGTTAAGATATGAAACTTTCAAAAAATAACCTGCTTGAAACAACTGTTGTTTTTGCTGGAAGAAATTGAAAAAATGATTGCAGCAGTACACTAACAGGGAACTGCCAGAAATTCAAGTTAGATTCAGAAGAGTATATGGAACAAGGGACATCATTGCTGATGTCAGTCAGATGGATCCTGGCTGAAAACAGAGTACACCAGAGGAATGTTTACTTGTATTTTATTGACTATGCAAAAGCATCAGACTGTGAGGATCCTAAAGCTTTATGGGTAACATTGTAAGCAATGGGAATTCCAGAATATTTAATTGTGCTCATGAGGAACCTGTACACATTTATTCAAACAGAACAAGAGGATATGGCATGGTTTAAAAATCAAGAAAATATTACACACTCTCTCACCATACTTATTCAATGTGTACGCTGAGTATATAATTGGAAAAGCTGGATTCTATGAAGAAAAACATGGTGTCAAGATTGGAAGCATTTGCAACCTGTGATATGGCGGGGACACAACCTTGTTTGCTGAAAACGGTGAAGATCAAAGAATACAGCTTCAATGAGGATTGTTGTTATTAAGTGTCATCGAGTCGGTTCCGACTCATAGCAACCCAAAGACCGGCTGGTGAGCTTGACCTGCTGACCCTGTGGTTTAAACTAACTTTGCAGTCCACTGCATTAACCCGCAGTGCCATACCAGGACTCCTCAGTGTGGATGGCACTGCAACAAAAAGAAAAAAATCCTCATAACTGGACCAATAAGCAACTTTATAATAAAGGGAGAAAATACGGAACTTGTCAAGGATTTCATTTTACTGAGATCCACAATCAATCCCCATGGAAGCAGCAGTCATAAAACCAAGAAAATTACTGCACTGGGCAAATCTGCTAGGAGAGACTCCTTTTTAATAGCAAAGATGTCACTTTTGTAGACCCAAGCCATACAGTATTTTCAATTGTCTCATATGCATGCAAAACTGGACAAGGGATAAGGAAGAATGACAAAGAATTGATGCATTTGAATTATTGTGTTGGCTAAGAATATTGAAAGTATCATGGGTTGGCAGAAGAATGAACAAATCTGTTTTGGAAGAAGTACAACCAGAATGTTTCTTAGAAGCAAGGATGGTGAGATTTTGTATCACTATGGACATGCTATCAGGAGGCATCAATCACTGAAGAAAGGCATCATGCTTAGATAAGTGGAAAGTCAGCAAAAGGAAGCAGAAGAGCCTCAGTGAGATGGATTCATACAGTGGCTGTGGCAAGGACTGTAGGACTAGCACAGACCCAGGTGGTATTTCAATCTGTTGTACATATGGGTGTAATCAGTCAGAACCAACTCTAGGGCACTTAATAACATCATCCCTTCATATCAGTTTATTCCTCTCGGACACCACACAAGGGAGCTTTAAAAAGTTCATGAAGAAATGGAATGAAAAGATAATGGAATTTTTCCATGAAAACCTTTGAAACCCCCTTATATAGAAAACAGTATTGAAAATCTGAAAGACCACCCACCCCATTTTGTTTTAATCATCTCAGAGGCATCCTTCAAAACAAATCTTATTTTACTCAGTTTCTAGAGTATGCAATCTTCTAATGCATTTCCTGATAATTGTCGCAAGTCCAAAACTAATAAGCAGTAGAATGCAAGGTCAGCTGTTCGAACTCACCAGCCACTTCTCAGGAAGCCTATAAAGGATGCTACAAGTCCAAACCAACTGGAAAGGACTTCACAACAAACCTATTGAATATTTATTCATGATATTCCCACCATCATGTTAAACTGCTGATCAGAAAAAAAGGTGAAATCATTAAACAAAAATATGGAAAGCATTCATATATTTTGTATTTTAACTAAAGAAATCTTATTTTCGCTCAGTTAAGTATAAACTGTGCTATTCATTGTATCATCACTAACACTCTGATTCTAATCCAAACAAATCAGTAAGACCTGTCAATTTGAAAACACAGGCTTTTCTTGCAAATTTAGAATCCTGATCGTTCACTCTCTTTCTCTCAGTGAAGTTGCTGAGTTTCCTTACTTGTCACTCAAACACACGGTTAACTTTGGAAAAAACCATATTTTGAACAATTCCCCGTGAATAAACTCAAAGAAGATAGACAATATACAGTCACCGTATTTTCTTTGAAATAGGACATTATATCTGATTTGGAAATTGTGAACACTGACTATATTTACATACAAAGGGACTTAAGAAGTCCAAGGAAAATGGAATGAAAAGATAATGGAATTTTCCCAAGAACATTTTGAGACAAGGAGCTCTGGTAGCGTAGTGCTGACAGAGTTGGGCTACTAACCTCAACTACCAGCTGTTCCATGGGAGAAAGATGAGGCATTCTGCTCCTGTAAAGATTTACAGTCTCGGAAACCTTATACAAGGTCACCCTGAGTCGGAAGCGACTCCACGGCACATGACCAACCCGTCATAAAGACAGTCTCGTTTACAAATGATTCGGTTACAAATGATTCCTACATCTGTCTGTCTTTAATTTCAATTTGTAAGTAGGTTGGAACAGTTAGGTACAAAGTTCATATCTAATGTCAGTCACTCAAACGTCTGTCTTAGCATTTAGTAGGTAGTTCAAATCCACAAGCTGCTCTACAGGAGAAACATGAGGCTCTCTGCTCCCATAAAGATGTACAGCTGCGGAACCCCTACACAGGGTGATTGGTGAGTCGGGACTGCACGCAACAGTAGACTGTGTATGCGTAAAAACATTAAAACATGCTTAACATAATAATACAGTCATCATCAAGGTTTGATGTAGCACCCACATTCCCTTATTACAAACCACTGCATGTACCTTGAATTTTTAATATAATAGGCTTTATGGGGGTAGGGACCACTGATGTCTATGCAGTGGGACATTGTCCAAACACACATCAGGAGGGTCACGACTGTTGTTGATGTTACGTGCCGTCGAGTCAGTTCCAACCCATAGCAAACCCTATATAGCGTTTCCGAGGAGCAGCTGGTGAGTTTGAACTGCCGACCTTGCAGTTCAAATGGCTTTGCAGTCTGGCACATTAACCCACAGTGCCACACCAGGACTCCTATTTAAAAGAAGTTCTTTAACAAATAAAACTTTGAAGACAGATCTAATTACATTAAATTAGTATTAAGCATCTTTTTCTTCAAGAGTTTTGTTTCCCTAAAAAGCAAGCCAGTTCATAAAACTACCATTCAAAAATCAATATTTAGAAGCCCA